TCGAATGTACACACAGGGGTGCAGGGAGTAAAGTGAGTACTCCAACTCAGTGAGTAATAACAATAAATGAAGACTGAGCGATATAAAATCACGTTAAACACAACAATAAGCTATAAGAGGCAGAATAAAATCAGTAAAGACAATTAAACAGTGAAATCTCATAAAACACCTTTTAAACAGTTTCAACAAGTATAGAAAGAACAGCTAGGAAAGGTAAAACACATAAGAATCGCCCCTCGGGCATAGTAACAATAGAATCAACCCCTCGGGCAATGTCACAGAACAATACCAGCCCCTCGGGCTATATCTCATATCATCATGAGTACCCGCGCTCATTGGGGGTGTACAGACTCCGGGAGGGGCCCCTTACGGCCCAAGCGCAATATCAAGCCATCTCGTGGCATTATAAACAGGCTCTCGGCCTCATATCAATCACAAGCCACCTCGTGGCGTACAATCTCAAGCCCTCAGCCTTATTATCATAATCAGTATATCACTGTTGCGGCGTGCAGCCCGACCCAAAAGTATCCTCACGACATAGGCCCTCTGCCTTAATCAGAATCTCATAAGCCCCTCGGGCAACAATAAACATGAAGCTCAGCTCAAAAATATCTTTAAAAATATCATTTAAGGTGTTTAAAATAAAATAACATAGTTGAGTTTTGAAAACAGTAAATTATGGCATGACTGAGTGGCAAGTATAAAGTCAAAACGGTGAGGAAAAGTATCAGTAAAGATCCCCTAAGGGTTCAAACAATTGGCACGAAGCCCAGATATGGCATTTAGCCCAAAACATAATAATATCAAACAATTAGCTATCAAATACGCAGTAAAACAGTCATTCGGGATAGACTATGTCACAATCCCCAACGGTGCACGACCCCACGCTCGTCATCTGGCGTGTGCGTCACCTTAACATAGCCGAACATTGTGCAATCCGGGGTTTCATACCCTCAGGACAGCATTTAAAATCATTACTCACCTCAATCCGGCTCAAAATCTACCTCGCAATGCCTTTGCCCCTCGAATCGGCCTCCGGATGCTCCGAATCCACCAAAATCAGAACGTAATCATCCAAATATGCTAAAGGGACAAAGCCCACTCAAAAACAATCGAAAAACATCACAATTCCCGAAATTACCAAAACCCGACCCCCGGGCCCACATCTCGGAATTCGATAAATTTTATGTCATTAGATTCCTTATCTCCCCACGAGTTCATACATATCAAAAGTTCCAATATCCGACCAAAAATGGTCTTTCAAAACCTCAATCAAAGGCCTAGGTTTCTAAGCCCTGATTTCTCTAATTTAACCCTTAATTACAGCTCTAATCCGCGAATTTGTACCATAGAAACGAGTTTTTAGGTCCAAAATCTTTACCTCAATTAGTTCCCCTTGAAATAACTCTTCAAATCGCCTCAAAAGCTCCAAGAACCGACTAAAGATGGTGGAATAACTCTGAAAATCGCGAAGGAAATAACTTATATGTTCTGGTCCAGGGATTTAGCATCTGCGACCAAAATCCCGCTTTTGCGCTCTTTGAACCGCTTCTGCAGTTTTCACTTATCCTCCAGCTTTCCGCATCTGCGATGCAACAGCCGCACCTGCGCCGTCGCAGGTGTGGTTCACCAACCGCTTCTGCGGTTTCTGCCTCCCTCACCTTCTTCCGCTTCTACGGCCTTCCTCCTCGCATCTGCGGCATCGCACCTGCGGTACCCAATCCGCAGGTGCGGAAATACCAGAAGCAGAAAATCTGCAGCTTCTTCAAAAATTCCAATCTCTCTGTCAACCACCCGAAACCACCCCGAGGCCCCACAGGACCTCAACCAACAGCACAAACACATCATATACTACTATTCAAACTTATACCAACCTTCAAAACACCTCAAACAACATCAAAATCACCGAAACACATCGAATTCAAGCCCAAGGTTCTAAAATCTTCCGCATTCCACTTTTGATCAAAAAGTATACCAAACCACGTCCGAATGACCTGGAATTTTGCACACACATCCCAAATGACATAACGAAGCTACTGCAACTTCCGGAATTCCATTTCGGCCCCTATATCAAAATCCCAACTATCAAGCAAAAAACGCCAAAAACTCAATTTCGCCAATTCAAGCCTAAATCTACTCCAGACATCCAAAACACATTCCGATCACACTCCTAAGTCCCAAATCATCCCCCGAAGCTATTCGAACCATCGGAACTCACATCCGAGCCCTCTAACACATAAGTCAACATCTGATTGACTTTTCCAACTTAAGCTTTTTTAAAAGAGACTAAGTGTCTCAAACCTTCTCAAAACTTTTTCGATCCCGAGCCAACCAACCCGGTCACCTATAGAACCAATAAACAAAGCAAATAGAAGCAGAACTGGGGGAAACGGAGCGGTAACTCATGAGACGACCGGCCGGGTCGTCACATGTAACTACTCAAGTATCCCTCGACATGGGTTGTATTAGCCGCCTCGGGGTCGGGGACCACTACAGTTTTGTTGGCCCAATTGCAATCTATCCGAACCATTGGGAGGATCTCTTCAGTAATCGAACAGATGTATCTCGAGAAGTCTTCACACCGACCCGGTACAGAAGAAGTTCTTTCAACCTGCAAATCGTTATTTACCGAGCATCATTTGGGGATGAACATTTTCAAAGGGGTTTCCTGTACTGATTCATCAACGGCAGTACGCGAAACAGTTTCTTCGACCTCAGTAGCCGGCCGCGAAGCAGAAAGTGTTTCTTTTTGGGGAACGATTTTTGAGGTTTTTGCTGTGAGCACCTAATTTTTGCCCTACATAGGAAATTACTCCTAAAATATTCAAAAATAGTTTTAGTGCCTTTTGTAGAATTTAGGATTTTTTATTTTTTATTTGTTTTGGCATTCATTCGCACTTTTAGCATGTTTTAGTAGCATTTCAAATCACAAAAATGATCAAAAATATTTTTCTCTTTTGCTTTTTGCATTCTTAGATTTTACTTGCATTATTAACATTTAATTTGCATCATTAAAATATAAATAAATAAATTAGATTGTTTTGCCTTTGTTTTTTAGCATTTTAGTTTTCATTAATAAGTTAATTAAGTTGAATAATTGATCAATTTGGAAATTAGGTAATTTGGTTAACGTTTCAAAGATAGTTTATTAAATTGGTTAATTTAGAAAACATTAAAAAAAAAAGAGAAAGAAAGGTTGTTTATTGGGTTTTATAATGAATTTGGGCCAAAAAACAATCCCAGCGGCCCAATTGCCCCAAAACCTACCCCAGCCCAAGCAGCCCACTCCGTCCCTGGCCCATATCACTCCCTTAAACACCTGAACCCTTTTCCATTCTTCTTCTAGACCTAATTTAGATCCCCCACCTTAGAGACCAAAAGGGGCTCTCTCATCTTCAACAAAGAAAAAGGGCGCACCCTTTCTTCTTCCCTCTTCATCTCCTCTCCAACAGATCTTCACCTTTAGACCTAAGACCTAAAATCCCTAATTCTTAGAGATCAGCCATGGACCCTTTTGATTAACCTAGAAGACAACCGCATACACAAGAGAGAGGAAGCAGTGGACAAACTTAGGATTCCTAATCTAAAAAAAATACAAGAAAATTATAGAGAAAAATCCAAAGAAACATCATGGAAAAAGATTTCGAAGTCGCTGCATTTTTCTACTACATTTTTATACAAATTCTAGTTCCTCAATCTAATTTTCAACTGAGAATATAAGTTGTCTTCTGCTATCCCTGCTGTCGTAGCTAGTTTTGTCTTGCGGAGCTTCATTTCCCCTTATGTCTAGCCTTTATTTGGCACGCGAGTAGTTCCCGCATAATTAGGTATTCATCCTTTGAATTCAAGTTCTTGTTCTATAAAAAAATAAAAAATAAAGTGAATCGATTCTTTTTGTTTTGCCATGAAATGCTAAAAATCAAATTTTTACTGTTTTGGCATTCTTTTTGCTAGATGTATGTTCATGTGTAATGCAGATTGAAGTCTATTTTCGGGGGGGTGGGGGGGTCCCATTTTTTATTTAAATAGAATTGTTTTGTATGATATACATTGTTGTGATCTGCGTATTATGTAGAACAAGACAGTAAATTATAAATTCTGGTCAAAATAGTGGTCAATCACTATTTTATACTACAGAGATGCCATTCCAAATTTGCCTTTCCTGAATATTTGGCAATTTAGGTTTTGATTCCACGAATTTGGATTTAAGGATAATTCAATACAGTTGGGTTACGTCTTTACAATGATCATGGCTTGTCATGACTTGTGTGACCCATTGTGTCACGACAACTTTCTTATGGCATTTTGAGTGCTACATGAGAAAATATATTCGCGCGACCTTAACCAAACTTTCTTAATAATTAATAAAGCGTTATTAACTATGTATATGTACGCGTGACATGATTTTTGACGCGCCAAACGAAATGGTACATGTACTTGTTTCAAGATAATTCCTTAATTATGAATAATTGAGTAATTAAAAGCGGTAAGAGGTAAAAATGTACATAGGTTCTTGATTAAGTAATTAGATAATTTAATTAAGCCAGGTATGATTAAAATGACCGTGCTAAAACCACGGAACCCGGCAATGCCTAACACCTTCTCCCAGGTTAACAGAATTCCTTACCCGGTCTTTTGTGTTCACAGACCATAAATAGAGTTAAATTTCCTCGACTTGGGATTTAAAATAAACCGGTGACTTGGAACACCATAAATTATTCCAAGTGGCTACTCTGATTAAATAATTAATCCTATTTCGATTATTGTCACTTTAATTGGAAAAACTTCCTTATGCCCCTTTCAGCAAAAAGGAGGTGTGACATTTGGCATTTCTTGAAAAAATGGAGGAGAAATATAGGAAGAGAGGAAGTTGAAGGAGTGAACTTGTTGGCTTGAGATGGAGATGTACAAACGTTCTTGCAAAGGATCTCAAATATACCAGAGTATAATTGCTAGAAAGTATTGAAATTTCAAAGATATGAGAGTAGAAGATATGGATGTAAAGTTAAAATGAACCAACGAATAGGTATTTATAGTTTTCGATGACATTTTGCATCCAGGAGCAGCCGACCAACAAATGACAAGCACTTAATGCCATTAAGTCTTGATTGACGAGACGTTTCTTTTATTTTGTCGTTTCTATCGCGAGGTATCGAAGTAAAAATCAGAAGCTCATATCGTTTTTCGTCGTCTACTCTCCAATAAAGGAGGGGACTATTTGCATACAGTTGAAATGGAGCTCGCCTACATCATGGTAGGTCACGCCCGGAACATGGCAATAAAGGAATGAAGATCGACTCCAAGTCCTATCGGGCTAGAACCCGGGGTCAGAACGCCTGCCTTCAAGAATATCAAAGTCGTGATCCCGGAATCGATCCTAGTCCTGAACGAGCTCGAAGAAACATTGTTAGCATACCAAACAGAAGACCGAAATATCCGTGACCGGTAAGATATTACAGCGGAAATCTCAGCACTTATCAATAAGGAACCGACAATCGGCAAATGAAGAGATTTTTTATCTTTTATAGAATTGTACCTAAAGTAGGACTCCTCTACTATATAAAGGGAGCCCGATAATCCATTTAGCACATTATAACACACATTCCAAGGCAATATATTATTATTTCTCTCTTTATGCTTTTATTCTTCTGTATATTGACACCGATCGAAGTGCATCCTGTTAGAGTGTGACTGACCTTCCAAGACTATAACTGTTCAATTCTTGTGGTTTGAATTTATTTTATCATTGTATATTTCAATTGCAACTTAATTTATCGCTTTGTGCCAAGTTAATCCGCTTATCCTTAAAACCACTTACAAATTCAATTGTTATCCGGTTTTGAGGGTAAGCAACAATACATTCATAAATCTATCAAGAGCAGTAGGTGAATTAATCTCAAAAACAACTTAAGGAGAAGAGGTTGTGACCAAATAAAGGCCAGACAAACCACAACTACTAAACAAGCAAATTCAGCATCAAATCAGCAAAACAACTTCACTTTCAATCCTAAATTCAACTCGAAAACCCGGAAAATATAATGGAGGAAGTTCCTCGATTCAGCAGAAAGAGATACACCTTTTATAACTCTTTTTGAATGCAAAATACACCTGAATTATATCTGTTTTGTATTTATTTTTCAAATCTTAAACCTGGAAATTTTAGATCTATGATTTGAATTGTTTTGAAATCTATTTTTGAATTTTCAGAGAGCTTTTTGTGAGTGTGCATGAGTGAAGCTAAATTGTTATAACAAAAATTTAGAGATTCTTTTCAGTTATTTTCTTTGTTTTTACTCCCTTATTTTTTGTTTTTTACTCCCTTACCGCAGACCTCTTCTATTTTTCTATTGCTAAAAGGTCCTTCCCCTATCTCCTAGAAGCTTCCCAAGTAACTACCTAAAATTCCCTAAGCTTTTATTTCTTTTAGCACCCATATACTCTTTGTTAATTACAAACAACTAACAAATAACGGTCTCGGTTTCTAACGAAGAAACTCACTGCCCACATCTTCCTCTATTGGACTTTGATTCGGCAGGCCCAAACTCCTCTCAAATTGACATCAAAGACATAACAGAACAAGGAAAAAGTCATACTAAAACTAATAACATTCAAGGCAAAACTATTTTAATCAATTAACCTAAACTACCCTATAATTATCTAAATTGGAATCAATTGATTCTGAAACATGTCATTTAGATTAGAGAAAAATAAATTGCCTAAGGATTAACTACAATGAACTAAACAATGAAACATGAAGGAAAAAAACATGAAAGAGGAGAGGAAAAGGGATTACCTAACTAAATGGTGATGAGGCAACATAGAGAATTTCCAGGAGGAATTGGCCGGTCAATGTCCGGCTTACCAGGCTTCGACCACCAAGAAACGGACCAATTCTTGCATCAGTAGATAGCTCTTATCAATAGCTTTCCATCGATGCAAGTTTTCACAGTGAACTAGCCTGAATGATCGAACAACGAAAGGAGAGGGAAAACTTTGATTTTCTGAAATTTTGAATCTACTATTCTTTGAATTCGATGGGAATTTCGAGAAGATTGATGGTGGATTTGGAATGAGAGCGGGGTGGAGATTATAGGGTGAATCTTTTGGGTCATTTGGTGGTGCTCCGCCGCCGTGGGTGATTTCCAGCGGGCGGGCAGGCGGCGGAACAGTGAGGGGAGATGAGGGAGTTTTGGGAGGTTTTTTTAGGGGGGGGGGGGGTCGGGGTCATTTGGGAAATCTTATGGTAAATAGGGGTTAGTACTTTGCCGTCGGATGAGACATAATGAAGGGCCATAATTCATTTGACCGTGCTTTGACTCAAAATAGTGTCGCTTGGATTTTAAGCGACGCCATCTGGCGCTCTAAAAATTTAACGGGGTCTAGACTGGGTATAATTGACGGGGCAGAGTGTGGAATGCAACTGGGCCTTCAGAATTGCATTGGCCCAGTCTGGAATAATAAATAAAAATCGCTCATTGTTTCTTCTCTTGTTTTACACCAATAGCCACTTGGTTAAGTGTCCTAATTTAAATACCAATTGCAAAATTATCCTAGTTATCTATTTTATCTAACCATATTTAATTAATCCAAGCAAAATTGATTTACTTAAACTAAAAATGCAAGGAAAAATGACTAGTGTATTTGTTTGTGATTTTATGATATAATAATGCAACTACATACAATTAATGCCAATAATGTGATTATACTCTAAAAATACAAAAATAAATAATAAAATATCTTTGATAGTTTTAAAATTTTCCTAATGATGCAAATGATCTATTAACACAATAAAAATGCAAAAATTATACAAATGAAAATTATAAATTCTATAAAGCAATTAAAAATTATTTCAAATATTTTTAGGAGTAATTTCCTATGTGGGAACAAAATTACGTGCTCACAGCCGCCCCTCTTTGCTCGAGAACATGAAGAATATTCAAAAAACTAATAAAGTGAGCAATCATGAGCAATTTTAGCCAGCTTGATACTCCATGTGAAGCATTTTGAAAACATTTGACCGAACCTTGCTTCCGAGATTGCCTATATATCCTTGGCTATAAAGGAATCAGGTCAGTGTAGTTCTGGGAATTTTGGTATCTAGGACTACCGAAAAGCTGTGATTTCACTGCTGTTGCTACTGTTACTGTTTGTTGATGTAACGACCCGGCCGGTCGTTTTAAGAATTAACGCCCCGATCCCCTATTAACTTCTTTCCCCGTGTTTATTTTTGCTATTCTAAGTTGCTGGGAGGTTTCGTTTTGAGTGTCGGAGTATTTTGGGACACTTAGTCCCTAAATGAGAGTTTAAGCTTTAGAATTTGGACCGTAGTCGGAGCAGTGTGAAGACGGCCTCGGAATAGAATTCCGTCAGTTCCGTTAGCTCCGTTGGGTGATTTTGGGCTTATGGGCGTGTTCGGATTGTGTTTCGGGGGTCCGTAGCTTAATTAGGCTTGAAAATTCTGAAAGTTGAATTTTTGAAGTTTCTGGTTCGGTAGTGAGATTTTGATATCGGGGTCAGAATGGAGTTCCGAATGTCGCAGTAGCTCCGTTGTGTCATTTGGGATGTGTGTGCAAAGTTTCAGGTCATACGGATGAGGTTTGATAGACGTTTTGATCAAAAGCAGAATTCGGTAGTCTTTAGAGTTTTTAGGCTTGAATCCATGGTTAATTCGATGTTTCGATGTTGTTTTAGGTCTTTTGAGGATTGGTACAAGTTTGGAAGGTGGTATATGACTTGCTCGTGCCTTTGGTTGAGGTCCCGGGGGCCTCAGGGTGATTTCGGGTGGTTAACGAGTGATTTTGAGTTGAGTTTGGCAGCTGAAGGAGTTTTGTTGCTGTCATAACCGCACCTGCGACTACGGGACAGCAGGTGCGGGCACGTAGGAGCGGATAGGAAGCCGCAGATGCGGCTAAGAGAGGGGCAGGATGGGGTCGCAGAAGCGAGGTCCTGGTCGCACCTGCAATTGCGCAGATGCAGGATTTCTTGCGCAGGTGCGGCCCTTGTATTTTAAGTAAAATTCGTGGGTGCGCACCTCGGACCACAGGTGCGGGTCCGCAGGTGCGACTATTTAACCGCAGGTGCGGTTTTGCTGGGGCAGAAATTATAAATTCCACCCTTCGCGATTTTTGACCATTTCTTTCAATTTTTCATTCGGGGTGAAGCTTTGGAGGGCATTTTCAAGGGAGATTTTCAGAGGAATTCATTGAGGTAAGGTCTTTGGTCCTTAAGCTCGTTCTTATGGTGATTTTCATCATTGTAATTGATAAGTTGGTATTTTACCAACTTATCTTATCTTTAAACCTATATTTTTGCTATGTTTGAGTGATAAAATCGTGTGTTTAATGTCATTTAATTCTATTTTACAGGTTGTATGTGATTTAGAAGTAATGGTGAAGAAAACAAGTGAAAACAAGTCAAAAAGGAGCTAAAATGGACAAAATGGGGCCTGCCAGTGATTTGCTTTTCGCGAACGCGAAGGTACCACGCGTACGCGAAGAAGCAGGAAAGCTAAACCTTCGTGAACGCGAAGGACCAAACGCGAACGCGGTGTATCAGAAACCAAACCTTCGCGAACGCGAAGATCTAAACGCAAACGCAATGACTGAGGCAAGTAAACCTTCGCGAACGCGGAGGTGTAATCGCGAACGCGATGAAGAAACTGGGCGTGAAAACTGGGCAGTTCTGGAATTTCACATTTTTGACCCCAAACCCTTTAATACCCAAACCAGCTCATTTGTAAACAATCTTTGGCTTATTTTCAGTTCCACACACAAGAGAGAACAAGTATTGAAGCTAGGGTTTTGCACACACACTTGGGTTTTGAAGATTTCAAGCTTGTGATTAAGGATTTCTTACCCATTTATGTTTATTTCTTCATTTCCTTGCTTTGTATTGAATATTTAAGTGTGTAGTATTATTTCCAACACTTGAATCTTGTTTATGGAAATATTCATATTTAAAGTGTGGATCAAATACCTTGTTGTGCTTATGTATTGAATGATTTTTATCCATTTATGAAGTGAGTTGTTGTTTCTTTAATTATTCTTGTTGTTTAATGTTTCCAAAGGGATTAGCTAACCCTAGGACTTGCCCAATAACTCCGAATTAATTTTGGAAAAGATAATTTGGGGTTGGGAAAGATTAATTAACAAGAACTTGAGGTGTTAACCCTCATTTTATAGATTCTACATAGGGATAGGATTGAACTACTTGTAGCCATATCTGGGAGCGCTTAATCTCTTAATTGTTTTAGGAATAATTCAATTAGGAAGTCTTGTTAGTCTTCGAAAGAAGCTAATATAGAATTATTACCCGTGGCTAATTAACATAAACTCGCTCATATTTGTAAAATCATGAAATACATTGGATCGTTACTTGAGTGTAATTTCCGATGCAACAATACTTGTAGCCATTGATCATTTTACTTGCTTTCTAGGTTAGTTTAGATTTACGCATTTAGGTATAAACACATTTAAAACCAAATTCTTAGTGTTTGGCATTGCGCGATAAGTGATAATTTTCTTACATTCCTAGTCGCCTACATATTGTTCTCTGTGGGATTCGACCCCGACTCATAGTTGGGTAAATTATATTGCATGCGACCGTGTCCATTACTTTTTAGTAGTGGATTTGGACGTCATCAGTAATCATGAAATTTGAAGGAAAGTCAGTGGTAAATTGGGGGTTAGGTCTTGGTTAATTGGAGAGCTTTGAATGGTGATTTGAGGGACCATTTGAGGTCCAATTTTGGTACTTTTGGTATGATTGAAATCGTGAGAGTGTGAGAATTCCGAATTTGTAACTTTTACCCGATTCCAAGACGTGGGCCCGGGGGAATTTTGGTCATTTTTCCTAATTTTACGTATTAGCCTAGAATTAATTAGTTGAATTAGTTACTTGAAGTATTATTTACATTATACAATTACTTTGAATAGATTTGGGCCATTTGGAGTCGGATACTCATGGCAAAAACGCGGTATAGATTTGATTGAGCTGGTTCGAGGTAAGTGGCTTGTCTAACCTTGTGTGGGGGAACTCCTCTTAGGATTTGGTACTGTGATCTTTGAAATGCCTTGTATGTGAGGTGACGAGCGCGTACTTGTGCTGATTATTGAAAATCCTATTTTCATTTAAGTATCTATAATTTCGTATTTTTCTTTACTGTTTACACTACTTGAACTTTGAGCTTACTATTAGCTTAGGAAAGCATGCCTAAATGACTAAATTGCCTACTTGCTCAAACTGCCTTATCGGAACTCTGTGCAGCATGCTAGGTTAGCATTACCTATCTATTTTGATATTAAATTGAATTGAGTTGATTATTCTTGTGTTGTTGCTGCGTGTTTACATTGGGACTACGGGCGGTTCCCGGTAGATCTCCCTTGTCTGTTTATTTGGGACTACGGATGTGGTATTCCGGTAGATCCCTCTGCACAGTGATATGGACTACGGGACAGCACCCGGGAGATCCACTGATTATTTACTTTTGGGGCTATAGGACGGGATCCTGGTAGACCCCCGGTTGTTATCTCTATGTTGAGTTGTATACCTTCTGTGATTATTTGCCTTGGTTGTGGTTGTTGTTTCTCTCATTATCTGTATTTCTTTACTACTGCTCATCTTCTTTATATGTTATTGTATATGGGCCCTGACCTTCCTCGTCACTACTCGACCGAGGTTAGGAGGCACTTACTGGGTACCGCTGTGGTGTACTTATGCCCTTTCCTGCACATGTTTTTGCTTGTGCAGATCCAGGTACTTCCACTCAGTCTTATCACCCTTGAGGCGAGGCGCTTCTGTAGAGACTTTGAGGTATATATGCCGCGTCCGCAGACCGAGGAGTCCCTTTCTATTCTCTGTACTAGTATAGCCCTTCTGTATCTTCCTTGTTGGTAGACACTTATAGAGTTAGAGCCTTTTATGTACTCTTAGCTTGTGATTCTTGGGGTTCCGGATTTTGGGAGTGTTAGGTTGAGATTCTTGTACTGTTATATGCTGGGCGGCATCTTAAACACTGTTTCATTTTGCTATCTCAGTTTTTAATTGTTTTCTTTCCGCAATTGTTTCTTTTCCACATTTGTTAGGCTTACCTAGTCATAGGGACTAGGTGCCGTCACGACAGTTCACGGAGGGCGAACATGGGTCGTGACAGCTGAACTCCTTATTACACAAAAATCAAAATCAAAAGAAACCAAACAAGTCTATC